GGGAGCAGCTACGGGGGGGCGGGGGGGGGGAAGCTGCGTTCATCCCCACGCAGGAGAGCTGGGGGGCAAACGCAGAGGAGACGGGACACCGGTTTGCTTTAAAACAATGCTGCAAAGCTGCATTAAGGTCTGGCTGCATCTGCCTGGTCCTTGGGGACGGGAGGGAAATTCCTCCCTGCAACACCACCTGCATGACAGATGGGGCTGGAGCCCGGCTCAGCTCCGAACGCGCTCGCTGCAGTCTCACATTCAGCCTTGACGCTGTCCTGGGGACGCAGGGAGGGTGGGAATGAGCAACAGGAATGTTGCAAGAGCGCTGGAGCCATGGGTGGTTTGTCCTCCTGGATAATTAACCCTAATTGTGCAACAAGCTTCTGCTTTACCATCCCAGGCCCGAGGAAACGTTGCAATTATCAAGCAACAAAACCCCTTGGCACTCCATGGTTTCGAAGCCTTGCACACAGTAACCATCACCCCTCCGCATTTGATGTTTTCCAGAAATGAGGTCAGAGCGCTATCGCCAAGTGCCGTGACACGATGACTGATAGGCTTACCAAACTATTAAAACATGTTTGAAACACCATGTTATCAGCCAAACAGCAAGGCAGCCTAAAAAAAAAAAAAAAAATAGATTTCAAACACTAGTGCAAATAAAGCAAAAAGGAGGAAAAGGAACAGCATGGTCTCGGTTTCTACAATTAAATAACAAATATCAACACTCCCCAGTACCGTTTGCATTGACTCTCACTCGTTTTCAGTCTCAGTGCTCTCCAGGATCTCCACACAACCCCGCTTTGGGCCACTCTTACCCTGAATTTGGGGGGCCCCGTCACCCCCCCAAGGCTGCACCAAGGCACCTGAAGCTGCGCCTGCCCCGGGCTCCAGCAGAGCGGGGCTGAGGAGCAGCCCCCCCAGCACAGGAGGGGACTGATGCAGGGAGACGCGATTTCAATCTTAAGCTCCATCGGGCTAATCAGCGCCTCGGAGCTCAACTGGTAAAGCTCTGCTGGATCCCAGGCTGAGCCTGAGCTAGGCTGAAGCACAGCTGCCAAACAGCTGGGGACCTGGAAAGGGCAGGGGCAAGCCAGGTTTTGGCTCCTGGGGAGCACCTTGGGCTGATTTTGCAGAGCAGAGAGCAGGTAATGACACAAAAAAAAGAAAGAAAAAAAAAAAAACCCAGGTCCACAGCAAAGGGAACCCTTGTTATCCAGACCACTCCGCGTGCTGAGCTCGCAACGCGATTCCCGCGCCGGCCACCGTGATTTATTAGCTGGCATATATCTGAGGTGGCAAGGAGCGTGCCCGTGTCCGACACGGGACATGGCATTGCAGCAGGGCCAAGGCAAGTGCATTTAAAAGCCCCCACGTGTCCCTCAGCGGCCCCCGGCCCCGCCTGCAGCCTCACCCAGAGCTGCTGCCTCCTCCCGCGGGGCGTGCACGGGCGCCGCAGCAGCTTAGTGCAAGGGATGCCTGCACTGGGCTCGTTTCAGCTTAATGCCATTCTGGAGCAAAGCTTTCCTACCCGAACCCGTGCTGCGTTCCGTGGTGCACAGACACGGCCCCAGCCAACGCTCCTCACTGCCACACCTCGGGTCTGGGTAAGCCAGGCCTGAACAAGAGCCCTCAAACGGAGCGCGAAGCAGCACCTACGCCTGGACGGGCTCGATGCAGCTCTCGCAAAGTCACACCAACACAACCCCAGCGCTGACAGTGAGCAAGGACGGAGAGGGGGGTCCTCGCTCGGTACGGAGGATTACACGGGCATCTCGGGGTGACGGTATCAGACGATCTCGCTGCCTGGGGAATACCTGAATTTTCTACACGCTATTTATCACACCTCCTACAGGAGCTGGTTTGGTTATGGAAATGACGCGTTCACGTTGCTCTAAAAACTTCTGCTCATTTTCATTTGAAGGCAGGCAGCGGGCGAGTGGGCTGGACCAGTCCTCCCAGTTTCACTTACACGCTCAGCTTTCATTGCTTGTTGCTAAAAGCACTTCACCACCCGTGCACGGCTTTCTGGTGCCCAGATGTAGGCAGTGCAAAACCGACACCGTACCTGAGAACCCTCCCGTCCCCGGGAGCCAGCGCTGCACCGGCTGCCTGCCCAGGCGCTCGCTCAGAAGGTACCGAGAAAGCCTTTCGGAGGGGCTGAGCAGGGAGCCTGCCAGCGCTGGGCTTTAACGGTGGCCACGGATATATAAAGACATAATTAAAAGCCAACAGATTTGTTGATACATCACTCGTCAGGCAGAGCTGATCTCCTTAGGGAAAAAGTCATCAAAAGTTGCAGCGCGTCCCTTGCGCAGGCTGCTGCGGGCTGGCATCTCCCCGGCCCTGCTCAGGCTGCCCGGGGAAGGCTGAGCAGCACGAAAGGGGAAAAAAAAGTGTTTTTCCAAACACAAGAAAGGCCACGCTCCCCTTCACGCCTCCGAGACCTCCTGCCGCTTCCTCCAGGCTTGGCTTTTGGGGGAGTTTATGTGGTTGCAGAGGAGGGTGCCCCTGCGCCTGGCCATGCTGGGGACCAGCACCTCCTGCCCTGCACAGCACCAGTCACCTGCAGGTTGCCCTGCCCGGAGGTGGCTTCCGAAGCACGGAGCCACCCGACAGCCCAGGCAGGAGCAGGCAGGGACCCCGCTCCCCGGCAGAGCGGGGCGCCGGGATGCGGGTCCAGCCAGATCCTGTATCGCAGGGAGGAGCGGGGGGG